CGGGTCCCTCATAAAGACCTACACCTTTCAAAAAAGTCAAAAGAGTAAAATATCACATAACAGTGAAGCCTCATAACCAAGGAGGCAGTAGGGCTACCAAGGACATGGAGCCTATCTATTGTACATAGATGCTGTGCTGCAACGAATTTGGAATCCGTGATGGTTTGAAAGAAAATACACCCCAAAGGGAGTGACACTATTAGAAGGTGTGACCTTGTTGGAGGAAGTGTGTCACTGTGGGAGCAGGCTTTGAGGTCTCTTTCGCTCAAGCTCCCCTCGCTGTGACAGCCAATCAACTTCCAGTTGCCTGCAGGCAACAGCTCCAACTCCACATCTGTCTGCAAGCCACCCTGCTCCCCTTCATCATATAACAGACTGAATCTCTGAAACTGTAAGTCGGCCACCCTCAGTTAAATATTTCCTTTATAAGAAATGCTGTGGTCATGGTGTCTCTTAAGTCAAACAGAATTTGAGTTTAAAAGGTGGAGAGTTTCTTCTTTACTCTGGTTCAAGAAGCTAAAACTAGAAACTAGTTACTTCCAGCCAAGGAAATAGTGTGCCAAAGATGCACAGAGCAGTTCTGCTAGCACCTTAGCAAGACAAAGCGCCCCCCCCCACTGAGGATGTGTAGCCAGTTAGTGGTTGATGAGGGCATGTTCCTGGAAATAACTTTTCCCTCACTCCTGCCATTGTAAACAACTCTAATGAAATTCACTGGGTCATTTAAATAAAAAAAGACATGAAAGTATAAGGACTCATTGGGAAGAGGAGAGTGAGAAATGGACAGAGAACGATAGGAGGTGGATATGATCTAAACATGTTGCATATATACATAAAAAGGTAATAATAAAATCTGTATAATGCATAATTAATATGTTCTAATAAAAGCGTTTTTAAAAGGTCAATGGCTCATGAGGAACAGCACCTAAAGTTGACCTCTGACCCCCACACAGGTGCATGGGAATCCACATGATTACATACCCAGATTTACGTACATTGAAGAAAAAAATAAAACCTATATAGAAGGGTCTTAGTTAGGACTTATATTTCTGTGAAGAGACATCATGACCATGGCAACTCATAAAGGAAAATGTTTCCTTGTGGCTTACAGCTTCAGAGATTTAGTCCATTATCATCATGGTGGGACACGATGATGGGCAGGCAGACATGGTGATTGAAAAGAAACTAAGAGTTCTAAATCTTGATCCACAGACAACAGGAAGGAGTTTGAGGTCACACTGAATGAAGCATGAGCAAAGATCTCAAAGCCCACCCCCACAGTGGCACACTTCCTCCAACAAGGCTGCATGAACTCCAGCAAAGCCACACACCCCATAGTGCCACTCCCTTTCAGATGAACAAACTCCAAACCACCAAACCAGAGGATACACAAAACACTACACATCTGAGTCTTCCCTGGAAAGACTGACCCAGGGCTGGTATTTGGCTTCCCTGTCTTGCTGCAGGGCCAGAGTTGTCCCCACGCACTCCTGTGCGTCTATGCTTGGGGTAAGCAGCAGCATGGCGGTCACCTCACCATTTCTTATGCTTCCCCATTCAGAGTCCCTGAAACAGAGCTGCTTAAGTTCTGGTGTAGAGGAGAGTCCAGATATAAAACTGGTGGGAATGGGAAGGAGAGGAAAAGTTTGGTCAACACAGCACTCTGACTTGTCCTTTAGCACTGTTGGGAACTATTGCACACTCGCTGGGAACTGAATATGTTCTAAGGTACAAAAGCTAGTCTAGAATTACTGACTCTTCCTTGGCCGCCTCTGAGTAGCCTTCTGCCTTGTGGAAGAGTGCGCCGACTCTCACATCAACTGAAAATTGCTGTCACAAACAAAATCCATGAATTTTAGTCTTCAGTTCATTTTTTAGTGTCATTCCCAGGGCTTTCCTGAGAATGTTCCTAAGTAACGAAACTTTGTTTTATCTTTTCCTTCCATTTCCTGGTAACCTATATACTGACCCTGACCTCTTCCCTGCCCACCCATCTCCTAATGCTTTTACACATTTTTGATATTTCCTAATATCTGTCTTTATTGAGTACTGATGAGGTTTTATCAACTCCAAAGTCTTTGCATTTCTCAAGAGGTCTCTTATAAAGCACCCTTTGCTGAGTTTCAGATATAGATATGGATATAGATAGAGATAAAAGAACAAGAAACCTTCCAATATGTTTGTCTATATATTTTGCAGGTACACATGTGCACGTGCACGCACACACACACACACACACACACACACACACACAATGCACACACACACTTTTCAAGAGTAGAAAAAGACTTCTTCCATTATGGACATTTTTCTATTAGAATCAGGTTCTTAGTCTTTTAAGTTGGTACTGATAGTTTTTAAGTGTCAAATCCCCCAGTCTTGGTGGTGAATACTTCAGAGGCATTTCTCTGACTTATTTGCCTAGAAAACTCAGAGACAGCTCACTGGTGATATATACACTAGTCCAGAGTAATGAAGCCCTACTGAAAGCTCATGCTTTTATTTCAAGACTAAGTAACTTAGCTAACATGGCTTACTTGTAATTACCAGGAAATAGACTTACACCTAACATTGCCATTTAATTAGGCTACAGGATTTGGTTGTAGCTGGTTGTTTTTTATTTTTTTCACAAAGGAAAAATTTTCAATTTTCCCTCTTCTCACTTAATGGAAGAAGTGACACTTTCACTATAAACTGATGACAATATGGTATTTTCTATTCTATGATTTTAGTAACAAGGCAAGGAGATCATTACATAGGATTTGAGACAACATTAAAAATTTCTTATTAAGAGTGCCAGCGACTCTTATCCTTCTTTAGGCAGAAGACTTGATTTTGGTGTTAAAGGTTTTTAAACAAGGCCTCATACATGTACCTGACTAGAAACATAACTTCGTTAACCACTTTGAGTCCAGTTTGCATGTTCTTTTTGCTTTGCCTCTAGTATGAAAAGTCACAGACTGTAGTCTCAGAACTGAACTTGAAGTTTGAAGTGCGTGGGAAGAAAAAGCAGTCAATCACAGATGACCTCCAACAGTGTAAAGACAGCCTGAACATGCTTTCACATAATGGTCCTGCTAGTATGGCTCTCTGTCATTTTCCTTTCTTTCTACACTTATTCTCACAGTGCAAAGAATTTTCCCATGGTCTTTTAAGCACATGTACTCAGAGTTAAATAGGTGTGAAAGGAGAGAGGAGAATGTGATATTGACTCTTTGTTTCTTTCCATATGGAAACACCAACCCTGGATGCCCACATTGGTGGCCCTGGTTCTGGTGATAGTCAGTGTGCTGGCCAGATCTTCTCTATGACAGCATGTCTTGAGTTTGTACATCTTCCTCCCTCTAGTAGCTAGCTCACACTTATGCTAGGGTTTAACTTATATAAAGATGACATAGAGTTATGAATTTGTTCTACTGTAAGCAATAATTTGTTTATGGTTTTTCATATAATTTTTAAATTATTATGTCAAGATTTGGAATATTATGGTAGCCTAAAGTAGGCCTCATAATGAACCTATTTGTACCATAAATTTATAGATATTTTACTTTGAAATCTGATGGTCACATAATTCATTTACCTGATTCAATAATAACCCAAACCAAACAACCAATACATATGTTAGAACAGAGACCCTGCATGCTCAATGCCTGTCAGTTTGAATATATACAAACAAATTGACTTAATTTGGTTATGAGTTGCTAACTCACATTCAAGGTGAAATTCTGTTAAATGGTTATTCTTTTTTATTATTGTTAATTGAGACAATATCTCAATTAGTAGCACTATTCCCAGGATTAGTAGCATTCCATGTACAGTGACACACCTAAATACTACTTGGCAGTATACATTTACAAAACAGAGGTTAAAGTTTAGCTATGGTTGTATGCAGCACCATATCTAAATCAATATCCTAAAGTATAATATACTTCAATTTTCTTTTGTCAGTGAAGACTGGGAGGGAACATCAGTGAGTTGTCTTGAACATTCTATGAGAATATCCAGATGTATCCAGAGATTGCAATATGAGTTTAGGATATGTTTGCCTTGTGATGTTCAGGAATCATTGTTTTTTACTGTAAAGGCTGTATTTCAAGCTATTTGGGATTGCTTTGAGTAGAATCACTAAATTTATGGAGGAACTAGCCACAAATGAAAATGCTTTATAAAATACTGCCATATAGTCGATTTTATCATTTTCGGTTGCAAGAAGTCTCTCCACCATAAAATGTAATATCCCAGTGGTATCCAGTACCTCTTGTATATAGTTATTGCAAATACTATTCTGAAATGCCTAATTTCAGACATATAGAATTGTTTGAAATCTATTTGCTAAAGATAAAATATACAATAGAATTATAGAATTTCTGGAGTAGATATTAAACTGTTTGCACTAGCACATTTGATGTTCATAAATTAATAAGAAAAACTTTACCTCCATGTGCTTGTTTGAGTTGTGTGTGGAGTTCTTAGTGCTGTCTCTACTCTTTGGTTGTCCTTAACCTTTCCTTGGAGTAATGTGGCATTAAATGGATGTCTGCTGTTTGTCAAGTTTTTTTTTTTAATGCAGGGAAATTTCCTACAAGTTTTAATTAAGTTACTCTTGTTCCTTTCCTCCTTTTGATATGGTCATTTAAATGTGACTCACTTGCCAAATTAATTACATTAAATGTAAGGCCTAGTGTTAGTATTTACTTTACTGAAATTAAATAAATGGAGTTTTGTGGTTATATTCTGTTTTTTCAAGAATGTAAATAAGCCTGTTCATAAGCAATACCTCCAGTTTTTTTTTCAGTTTCCTTCCAGGTTAAACAGAGAAGGAGTGTTACAATGTAGTAGTGCTCATAAATTTTAAGCATGTCGGTTAGAAATCATATGCTAATTTTAGGCCTCCCGTAACTATAAAGACCTTGTCTCAAAAAAACAGCAACAAGAGCAAAACAAAAGAAAGTAAAAGTGCATGGTGTTGCACAGTACACACACCCATATTGGCATCTTACCTCTGGGTTCATCATCCTTGTTATCAGGAGCAAATTACTTCATTTTCTCTGAGTTTCCATTTCATCATCTAGAAACTGAGAAGAATAATGTCTAAGTTTTTGGTGGTGTTATAAAAATTAAAGAGCTAAAGTATAACCCAAGTGATGTGTTTAGGAAATACCATACTGAAATTTTATTGCAAATAGCAAAGATTGCATGAAACAGTACATATAATTTTAAAGGAATCAATAGAAACCTGGACACAGCTCTGCTCCTGCACTCTGGTCTCTCTGTGGAGTGGTGTGCTTGACTTGGTCATCAATTGCTCTTCTGGAATTTGTTATTTCTAATTCCACCTGGAGTCATAATTTCTGTGAACACAGAAACTTTTGAACAAAAATGTATGTTTTCCCTCTCAGTTTAATCATCATATTTGACCCAACATTTCTGCCCCCACCATGAATTTTGGCTTCTTCCAGTGGTTTTGATGTGTGTGCTATCAAAAGGTTAGAGATCTGCATATGGATCAATTGAGGTAAAAATGCAGGCTTGCTCAAAAAATGTACTTCCAGAAATATGTTTTGTGAAAACTGTTAGGTGTAGAAACTTTCCGGTGCCAGGACAGTTATTGTAGAATTTTTGTAAGATAAAAGATCAAAATGCTGGGAGTTGGTGGCCAAAGCCAGCCTGGTATACAGAGAGAGTTCCAGGACAGGCTCCAAAGCTATAGAGAAACCCTGTCTCGAAAAAAAAAAAAAAAAAAGATCAAAATGTCTAGCCATAAGTCACTGGCTAAAACAGTTATTGTTGCCACACTACAGATTATACACTATACTTTAATGGTATGTGGGAAGGAAATACATGCCATGGTAGAAAAAGAGACAGAGAGACAGAAAGACAGAGAAACAGTGTGTGTGTGTGTGTGTGTGTGTGTGTGTGTGTGTGTGTGTGTTTGCGCACGGATGTGCGTGCACGTGCACACGCTTGAACGTGCACATGGTGGGAATCAAGGCCTTCTCTAGCTCCATGAGGAGTTTGTAGCCAACCTTGGCTACATGAGACCCTGTCTGAAAACTCCAAGTAAACAAGAATGGCAAAACGTAAAGCAACTCTGTTCCAAATGCCCATCTGATAGCAACACTCTGAGACATCAAACCCTCTGGTGTATTCTAGGAACCATCAGCAACTCCATCTGGAGGACTGAGGAGCTAGGGCCTAGAAGAAAAGCTGGTGCTGTGGATGGAGTGGATATTTATGTCCTTCTTCTGTCTTTCTTGTGGGGTCCTAGCTTTGAATTCTCAATCTACTGTGTTTAATTTAGAAAACCTGTAAAGCCCGAAAGTAGGAAAGGCACCATTAAAGGGGAAGGTGAAAGGAGGCCTTAATGGAAGTGGGGCACAAAAAAAAAATATGCTGGGAATATAGTGGAAAGGAACCTGCGAGTGGGGAGGATTAGGAGGTCATGGTGACAGTGCAGTGAGGGAAGTGTTTACCAACACTAAGCAGGTGATTATGGAAATACAATCTCTGTTAAGTTATTTACAAACAGTTGGATGGACTATAAGCGACTAGTGGGTAAAGGAGGCTGTCTCCAAATCTGGTAGCTTGAGTTTAAGCTGTAATCAACAAGGTGAAAGGAAAGATCTACTCCAAAAGCTAGGACCCTCCAACCTCCACACATGCTCTGTGACTTGCCACCAGGCCTCTGCTATATATATAACAGAGGAACCGTGCATAGGTGGATAAGGTTCCTCCCAAAAGACTAAGGCTGTTAAAAAAAGTCCTCACTGGGAGATAGTTCCCTTTGGGCTGTGATTAAGAGAGTCACCAGTTAAGCATCACAAGCTACTGCCAGTGCTCTTGGTTCCATAAAAGCAGTAGATTGTAAGTAAGACTATTCTGAACACACCATACACTTGAGACATGGGACATTTAGAAGTCATGCTGTAACATTGCTGCTTAGCTTTCATGGAGCCAGAAGGAGCTATGCAAGCTACTAGAGGAGGAAAGTTGGCAATGATTCTACCCATCAGTGGACCCTGCAAGTAACAGCCTGCCTGACAAATATGCTTCTCAGTGCTATTGTGGCATCACTATTACAGGAGCAATCAACTGCTTGGTGGTTGGATTTTAGCCCTCTACACAGTAGGGAACTCATTCCTGCTTCTGTAAATCTGGTTCACAGCCTGTGACTGAGGAAGTCATAGGCTGTAGTGAGGCAATACGAAAGTCTCCAGGATTCTAAGAGACTGGAACTTTTACTGAGAAAAATATCAGGGGGACACTCTCATTCACAATAGGCTCAAGAAAGCATATCTAAGAATAAGCCTAACCAAGATGTCAAAGTGGCCTTGTTAGTGAAAACATTAAGATAGCAAAGAAAGAGATTGAGGAAGGCACTAGACGATGAAACAATCTCTCATCATCATGTATTGAAATAACTCAATATTGGAAGAAATGGCTATTTACCAAAAGCAATCTAGGGATTTAATGAAAGTCCAGTTGAAATTTCAGTGGCATTCTTCACGGAAATGGGGGATGGATCTTCAGATTTATGTAGAAGCACAAAAGACCCAAGATAGCCAAAGCAATCCCAAGAAAAAGGAACAATGCTGAGAGTATCGCCATGCAGGATCCCAAATTGTAGTACAGAGCAATGGTAATAAAATCAGTATGGTACTGGAACAAAAGAAAACTTATAGATAAATTAAATAGAACAGAGAACCTGGTTATAAGGCTGTGCAACTAAAGCCATGTGCTTTTAACAAAGACACCAAAACTAGACATTGGCGGAACAATGGTTACTCTATGGGAGTCATCAGCCACTTTTGATTGGATCTGAGGCCTGATCCATAGGTTGTAATTCATGATTGGTACTGAAAACCTGGCCTGAAGCCCGTGGCTTGGGATTTGCCTTGCTAAGTGGGCATGGTCTCAAACTGCTTTCTAAGTATTTATGTGTACTTGAATATTTATGATTATTTACTTTTCAAATCAGTGGGGATTGTCATTGGGTGTGTTTTGCCTTCAGAGGTACTATGTAGCTACACTTTCACAAGACCAACATGACCTTCAGTTTTTCCAGAAAGCCTACAAACTATCTCTGTTGTTTCTTTTTTGATGAGGCTGTCTCCAAGTACATACTCCATCAACATACTTCAGGAGGAGGTCCTGAAGGTACAAATTCTCTATCAAGTATCTCCATTGCTGGGTCTGGAGATGGTCTGTAGATACGTTCTGCAGATGAGGTGGATAATTAGTTTGCTTGGTTCACTGGCTGATGCTTTGTTGTTACTTTGACATGAGAGTACTTGTCTTCAAAATGACTTAGTCCTTAAGAGTCACTGGACATGGACTTAGTAAAAATGAAACAAATTAGTGTTTAACAGTTAAATATTTCTGTGTATGTGTAGCTATTCACAAGTGGCTCTGGTCGAGAAGTGAGAATAATTTATGTTAGTCTGGAATATGAGCAAAACACAAACCAACAAACATAACTAAGTTTGGATTGGAAAGAACATACCTATACATTCAGTTTGCAAAAAAAAATGGACTAGATAATTTTCAACAGGGTAAAGCAATCCTTGCGTTAAAATATTTTGCCCCACTCTATCTGAAATGTTGAAAACTGACTTAAGACAATTAGAAATGTGCAGCAGTACTAGGTCTATGAACTTGGCAGGAGTCCCTCACAACCGGAAACTATAGATTTACGACACCAGGAAGGAACTCCACTTCCTCAAATCTAACCCACTTGCCATCAGTGCCACCTTGCTTATGACCTGGACCATCTAGTTGGTGTCTCAAAGTTGATCACACCATCTCACTAGGAAATCATATCAGTGAGAGCAGAAAGTGAAACTGACCTCCAGTCAAAAGATACTTCTGAAAATATTTACTTAGTTACTATGGATTATAATAGTTTGTTTTTCAAACGATTATATGCTATAGGTAAGTAAATCTTTTATTTAAATCTTTGTTAGCTTTGAGATACGTCAAGTTTTATTTTTGCGGTGAAAATGAGACAAACATGTCTTTGATACTCACTTGCAATTTAGAAATTATGTGTGTGAGTATATGTAAATGAGAACAAGTGCCTGTGGAGGCCTGAGGTGTTGGCTTCCCTGAACTTAGCATTCCAGGCATTTGTGAGTCACCTGATATGGGGGCTGGAAACAGAAGTTGGGTCCTCTGCAAGAACCCTATGCACTCGTGCCCTCTGAGCCATCACTTCAGCTCCTTGCTTAAAGATTTAAATGCCTTAACTACATTCAGAAATATCTTTCCGCAGTCTATAGGGATTGAGGAAAACATGCCCACCAACAGACAGGTTGTTCACTGTGTCCTTCCTAAGGTATCGTTGGTTCAGTGGGTGTTTTTAATTTCTTTTCTTATTAAAAGTACTTGATATCTATATCCCTGTTAAGTCCTCCCTTGACCAAAAATTACTTCATTTGATCACATATAGCAGCTAACATTAACTTGGAAATCAAATTGAAGTAGGCATTAAAGAAAAAGCCCCTTGGTTTTATTATTAAGGTCACAGTGATGGCTTCATTCATTAAGTGTGATAATTATGTCTCGTCTGCCCCTTTCTCTCCTAATGGTGAAGTTAGACGAGTTAAGGCAATTAGCTAGTTTGCCATGGAGATCAGCAACTGGTGTAAGGAAGGTCTGCAAAAAAAGCTGTCTCCTCTGCTTGCTTTATAACTCCTGAGGACTGTTTAAAACAGAAAAGAGGGCTGTTGCATTTCTAGTTGCTGTGACAAAAATCTGACAGAAGGCTCATGGCTGCGAGAGAATTTCAGTTCCTTACAGTGTTACAGAAGGTAGACAGGGTGGTTTGGTCTGTGGCCGTGGCCTGTTGCTTCTGACATGCCAGTAGATCAGGAAGCAGACAACTAAGATCAGGTACCAGATTCGACGATGACCATTAAGACCTGCCACCAGCAACCTTCTGCTAGCCAGGCCTAAAAAGGTTAAATAATCTCCACAATAATGACAAAGTATTCAAATACATGGGCCTCTGTGTGTGTGTGTGTGTGTGTGTGTGTGTGTGTGTGTGTGTGTGTGCGCGCGCGCGCGTGCCTGCATGTGTGTGTCCATCTGTCTGTGTCTGTGATAATGATGAAATGGTTTTAGTGAAAGTGCAAATCAGAGGGCTAGTGGGGTGACAGGATAAAGGCACTTGCCAGAAAGACTAACAACCTGAATTTGTCCCCTGAGACTGACATGGTGGGAGGAGAAAACTGCCTCCCATAAATTATCCTTTGATCTCCACATTTCTGCAATGGCACACATACACGATGCCTTCCCACATTCCCCCAAATAGACTGAAACTAGGCTTTCCTGTACTCACAGAGTTCTGCCTGCCTCTGTCTCTAGAGTGCTGGGATTAAAGGTGTGTGCCAACATTCCCGCCTCACGTAGCTGTTCTTACTGTCTATGTATTCTCTGGATTTCAGCGTGTAAAATTGGCAGGCTGATGATGCCTGGTCTCCAGGAAGTTAGCAAATGTCCTGACACTGGCTACTTATTTCCTTTTATATCTTGGCTTATACTCTAATCATTTGCATATTAAACATAGTCTTTCCATGAGCTGGAGAGATGGCTCCGAAGTTAAGAACACTTGCTGCTCTTACAGAGGACCTGTGTTTGATTCACAGCACCCACATGGTAGCTGACAACCATCTGTTAACTCTGGGCAGTGGGTACACACATGTTGCACAGACAGAATGCAGGCAAAACATTCATAAGGTCAATAAACCTAAAACACACAACATGTTGGTCACTTTCATGTTGACTGTAACTACTCCAGGAGTCTTCATTATTTATTCTCTGTATTTTGATGAGTTCTCCTGTATTTTCACATCTGTTAAAAGCATGTTCACCTTCCGGATTTTTATTTCTATAACTTATTTTCAATTACACGTTGGAAGGTGACTGGCTGGGGTGTTCTTGGGAGTGAGGGTGTGAAGGAGGAGCAAGACATGTTCCAGCTGGGTTCCTTTTTTCTGACACCATCTGCAATACTACAGGCATAGGCACATATTTCCCCAATAAGAAAATATGTAGCTTTCAAATTAGTGGGAATTACCTTTAGGGATGTTTGTCCTTTAGAGTGATTAGGTAGTGTCTCTCCCTGAGGGCAAAGATTAACTTCAGATTTTCCAAAAAGTTTTCTAACCCTCTTCCAGCTTTCTCCAATATATTTATGTGATGTAGCTTCATCAAGAAACAGACACTGTTTGTTCACAGAGATATAGTCACAGTCATTTATATTCATTTCAGGATCTTCATATATTTTCTACAACAGAAAAGCAGAAAATTAACTGTCTTGGTCTGGTCCTGAAATCAAATTGCTTTGTTTGGGGGTGCATGTTTTCAAAACTACATTATCCTTTTACATTCATAAGTATTGACACATAAAAAGTAGAATTTAGCAATAAAATATCTTCAAATATGTTTGTCTACTCACTAATTACTAGGGTTTGGTGTGACTAAAAGATAAAAAAATATGTTGGTAGCCTAGAATAAGAAATTTCCACGTCTACCAAATGTTTTTTCTCTAAGTTTCTATATAAAACTGTGATAGACTACTATGACATTTTAGCAAAATACACTAGAAAATGAATTTTCCAAAGGAGCATTTGACCATGCTAACAAAACTATTATCACTGTCCTCTATTGTACATCCAAGAACATCAGGATCAGGTTTTCAGAGAGCCTTGAGAATAAAATCATTCAGTAATGGTGGGTTTGTTCATTTGAGAAACTCTGGTGAAAGAACCATTACTTGCATATTAAGTGACATTTCAGTACTTAGGCAATACAGAGTCAACCAATGGTTTAAACCTTTTGGTTGTCTCTGTGAGCTTTAACATATCTCAAACTATAGAATACTGAATCAAGACTCACTCATAGTTACTTCTATTTTTTGGAAAAAATTCAGTATCTTAGGAGGAGGCTCAGCAAATAAGAGAGGTGGCTACCCACACAAAATGATCTGAATTTGAATCCTCAACATATGCATAAAAGGCAGGGCATTCACTTTTAATCCCAGTACTATGGGTAGGAAAGATAGGGGAATCACAGGGGCTTGTTGGATGCAAGTCTAGCTCCATGTTCAGTGAGAAATTGTGCATCAAGTGGATAAGGTAGAGAATGATAGAACAAGACATAAGTAACCTCCTCTTACCTCCAAGTCTTCACATAGACATATGTAACACATGCAATACACAGAGAGAGAGAGAGAGAGAGAGAGAGAGAGAGAGAGAGACAGAGACAGACAGACACGGGAGAGGGGAGAGAGAGATCAATAGCTATTGTATTTACTTTTGCCTGTCCAAACCATTTCTCTTCTCTTAAAGTTTGCATTGACAACTCCCCTAACAAGTATATACATTTACTACCTGAAATGAAACAAATCCACTGCCTAAAACAAGGTAGAAAGTTGGTTGTATCTTCTCCAGTGTCTAACTCTGATTAAAGACTAAGCACCTGGGTAAAAACTAAGTGCTTTATTTATGTAAATTCATAAGGGAATATTCAGTACCACAAGCATATCTGCTACACAGATCCCTCTAAGGATTTCAGATACCTCTAAGGATTTCAAATTGTCTTAACATCTATGTCTGTGTGTGCATGTGTGTGTGAGTGTGTGTGTGTATAAGACAGTACACAACATCAGTGTCCTTCTTCCTTGGGTGCCATCCTTCATGATTTTTAGAAAGGGTATCCCACTGGGACAGGGAAATCAATTCCTCTACACTGATTTTTCAGCAGGTCATAGGGATAACCATATCTCTGCCTCCCCGGTGACATGTGGACAAGCTCCTATAACCATACCTGGGTTTTTATTTGTGTTCTGGGGCCAAAATGAGTACCTCATGTTCATAGAAAGTGCACTTCATTGACTGCTATATCTCCAGCCCCAAGCTGGTACCTTTCAGTGGGCACCTTGAAATATGTCAAGTCTTCCAATTAGGTAGTCCAAACAGCAATGGCATTTTCAGGACTCTCCTCAATTTATAGCTTTAATGAGCTTTTGTCATAATCTTAGTATCTCTAGACCTTATATTTCTATTGTCAGTGTCAAATCTGTCATACACCCCATTATCTTCATCACTTTCCTAAATCTGACACTGCTGCCCAAACTAATGTTTTCTAAGCTCCACCTTCCACTGTAAACTCATTCCCTTCCTCATTTACCAGGTTAAATTGCTAAATCCACACTCCCCATCTTCAACTGCCTCACTACCTGTGTTCTCCCATTTTATTACTAAACACTCACATATCTGTGGATAAATAAGGAGACAACCAGCTTTACAACTGAGGAACAAGACTGCAAATCTCATTTCTGACACTTGCTATGTTGACATAAGTTATTTCTGTGCTGTGAACTTCAGGACACGACAAAGAGCAATTATTTGGGCAGAAAATTAAACACAATAAGGACTAATAGGATTTGCAACATCTCTAAGAGTCTTTAAAATCCTGAAAGTCTAGATTTTTTAATCATCTCTAGGAGAAAATGAATACTTAGCTTTCAAATACTAAAAAGAAAAGAAAGAAAAAAGATTTTTTAAACAATAAGGAAAGGGGGTATACTTATAGCAACAGAAATCTACTAGAATACTAGTTATTAATCAATTAAAAATAACCTCTAAGACAGGATTTAGTATGGTATGCCTTTAATCCCAGAACTCAAAATGCAGAATAAAGTTTGTTTTTGTGAGTTTGAGTCCATCCTGTACTTACAGTGAGTTCTGGGACTCCCAAGGATACATAGGGAGACCCTGTTTCAAAAGTTTTCTAAGTCAATGTTAATATTCACAGACCATGATCTACATGTTAATATTCTTCATTCATCTATAGAGATCTTGAGTAAAAGCTATGGATGTATGCTACCTCTGATCTGCCTTCAAACCTCCACGGATAAAAATGAGGTCTGAAATCCATCCGCAGTTGCCAAAATTATTCACATAGGCTGTTGGGCTATACAATTTAACTTCTCAGGAGAAGTCTGCATCAGAGCCAAATCATACAACTTAACTTTCTGAACTGATTTGACGTTATCTGTACCTTGAGGCCAGTATAATCATATCCCAAATCAGTCTGTTCAGAAGGGCAAAAGATGTACTGCAGAGCCAGGACCATGGGCCAAATAATCCAGCTCCCAGGACAGCAGCTGTCTAATTAGTTTTAAAGAGATTGTGAAAGCATAGATACTTTGAAAACTGGTTATGGTGACTATAAGACAAGTATTGTGTCTGCCTCAATGTACATTCAGCGATATTATTTATCTTTGGACTCACCAATTACGTCATGCATTTTTAAATTACATACCCAGATAAAGACTTCTGTTCAGTATTGTTATCTACTTTTAAAGATAAATGAGAAATATATTTTATAACAATTATAGAAAACTAACTATGAAAATGAAAAAGTTAATATTTTGTTTACTCTGTTTTCCTTTGAGAACATCCGCAGAGACTATTTAGAATAAATATTCATTTCTAGGCAGTTAATAAATTGAGAACTCAAATTTCTACTTCTCTAGTAATTTCATATTCAAGTAAAAGTCATGTATTATCAACAGTTAATACCTAAGAATGGACTGCAGTGCACAGTGTTCATATTCTTTCTGTATACTGTCAGACTTCTAGAAAATTACATCCTCACCAGATCAGGCAATTCATACTAACAGTGTGAAAAACAGTACATTGCTGTTCTCATCTACTTATTTATATTTTACTTAATTGCTTATTAAATTTTTGTTCATTTATCTATGTATTATTACCACCTCTGGAGTAACAGTACTTAGACATGTTCTAGAAGGGTATTTATTTTTGTTAAGACATAGAGAAGTTTCACTTGTGATTGAGTTGAAATTGTTGATTTTAGAATGAAAATGGAAGGTATTTAAATACAAAATAATGTGAGCATTGTCTATATAGAGAAATTGTAGGAAAGAAAACCCAATGATTTTAATTACTTCATTAGCATGAAAAAAAATTGAAAACCGTTGAACGTTGCATCTTGTGCCTATGGCATAATCACACTTTAGTGGCAATGAACTGTGTGACACATGTGTAGTACAAATGCCATGATCTTATATTCCAGATACTGCGTTTTTCTCTCCCAAGAGTAGGTTGGGTGTGTTTACTGATAGAATATATTCTTAGCATGTGAGACCCCTCTAGTTAATCTCCATCACCACAAATTAAAAGACAAATAAAATTCATAATAAGGTGACAGGATGAAAGCCTGCCATAATATAATAACATTGACACATTTTAATCTCATCTCTTATGGGAAGACAGACATTTGAATTCATTTAGAGTATCCACTCCCTTCTGTGACTTCCAGAGACAAGTTAGGAATTAAAGACGTTCTGGGTACAGCTGATTAAAGCCGGAACATAGGAAAGTGTTCCTTCCAAATTCTTACAGTTTCCAGTCAGACTTAATAGACTATGATTGTATAATAACTGCTGGATACTTCTATTACTGTCACTTTTCTCAGTCTTCATGGACAATTCCTCTGGAAAATCATCAAAAACACATTTCAGCATTCTTAGGCTAATTAACAAGACAAAGGTAAATAGCTGCATTCACAGCATCAAGCATGACTTCCCCAATGTGGAATAGTCCTCAATCTAATCAACAGAACATTTGGTTATCCCTGTGACTGTCTTGACACTATTGCACCAGTGGGCACATCTTGTTTGGCAAGTGGTTATTTAATTTAATTCAATTAGAAAACATTTTTCTCCTTGGAGAGTAGATCAGTATTTATTCCTGGCATACAAATAGACTCTGGGAGCCCATTCCACAAGGAGGGATGGTTTCTCAGCCTGGACACAAGGGGGGTGGACCTAGGCTCTGCCTGGGATGATATGGCAGACTCTGAAAATCCCTCATGGAAGCCCTTACCCTCCCTGGGGAGCAGAGGGCCAATGGGGTGGGGTAGGGGACTGGGAGGATTGGGGGGCAGGGGGGAGGGGAGAGGGAGCTGAGAGTAACATGTAAAAAGTTAAATTAAAAAATTATTACTGGGAGGTGGTGGCGCACGCCTTTAATCCCAGCACTCGGGAGGCAGAGGCAGGCGGATCTCTGTGAGTTCGAGGCCGGGCTGGACCGATAGCCTCCAAAACAATACAGAGAAACCCTGTCTCGTAAAAAAAAATTATTATAAAAAGTCAAAGATGGGTTTCTTGAGAATATAAACCATAGATCAAAATAAAAAAGAAAACATTTTTCTCTAAATATGGCTTTAGATTTGAAATTTCTTAATAATAACTTCATGAATATGTCTTCATTCAAGTGCTTTAGAAAATAAAATTAGAAACAATGCAATTGCAACTTACACCTGTTTTGAATAACTCATTTAGAATGTAGAGTGTCTTCTTATTTTCTTCAGCAGGAACAACTAGATTAAATGCCCATCAAGGTCTCACCTGACTGTTTTGTGTGGATTTTTTAGCTGTTGGTTTTGGCTCTTTTTAGGTATTACTTTCATAAAATATGAAAAAAGAAATTCCTTTTAATATTTATATAAAAAGCATTATGATCATATTAACTCCCTCCTATTTTGCTCTAACTGCTCCTAGATTCAACATGAGCCCTTCAAAACCCTCAGAACTTCACATTTTTTTCATATAAGTGTTGGAGTCATGTAGTGAGACATCCACACTATCCACACCTGCAGCACTGACAGATGACGAAATGACAGAGAAGAGAACTAGATCTGGAGCCCCGGACCCCAGAGCACTCTTGTTTCTGGGTGGGTCACAGAAGAGCAGCCTGCAAAGATCCTTAGAGCAGGAAACTGTGGTGGCCATCTGTTTCTTCTGTAAGTGACTTCTCTCCGAAATAAATTATATTTCATATTAATACCTAGTCCCGTGAATAATGCATCTGCATCTGGCGCCCAATGTGGGGAATGAACCCATGACCCTGGGTTTGTCCTGGTTAAATTATTTTAGGAAGCTTCAGCCATTGTACAACCATGTTTCTGAGAATTACAGACTATTACCACCCATGTTTCTTACCTATGAGATTAGTCAGATACAGATATTTGATCTTCAAACACTTCAAAGACCTGCAAAATACGGAACTTAAATGTTTTAATACTAGTACTCCATTGACATGAGACACAATTGCTCCTGACAGCAGCAAGCTATTCCCAAGAAGATGTTGGGCACCGATGTCACTCCTTCTGGAACTGTTCTCTCTTCAGCTAATGGCCTCTTGAGCAAAAAACTACCCCCACCTTGACTGCTGACTTTGGACATTCTGTCCCTACTGTGCTTGTAGAAGATAAACTCAGAAGACTGCTAAAACTAGCCAAGTCAGGGCCAGTCAGATACTCTAGACCTTAACCAAAGCTGGCTGCCCCTATGCTGCTGTAAGACTTTGGGTGACTGTCCAGGTAGCCTGATGTTTCTGTCTTCGCTGCACCTTTTGGAAGCTGCTCACCTACACTTCCTGCCTATCCTAATATTGTTACCCTCCTTCTCAGGTCTTTGATGAGGTTAATGATTAGATTGTCCGAATTATTGTTTTCTCTTCCTAGATAGAAATATTAGATATAAGACTTAAGCTTTCCAGCTTAGGGCAGCTCTATAGCAATCTCTATTATGCCTTTATCCTAGGACAGCATATGTAGTTTTTGTCATTTGCTCTAGTTGCTTCACTGGTGATAGGTCTTAAGTGTGTTTGCTCCCACTTTTCCTTCTCCTAGAGCATACCTGTTATTTGCTATCTTTGTATATAGTTCTGTTTCAAAAATTAATCTTTTCCCTTAGACTACAAGGAGAATTGTAGTGAGATATCTACCCCACCCACACCTGTAGCATTGCTCATGCCCGTTTGGGTGTGGTCACAGGTGAGGACATGATGGAGGAGAGGACTAGATCTGGGGTCCTGGACCTCAGAGATCTCTTGCTTCTGGGCAGGTCACAGAAGAGCAGGCTGCACACATCCTTAGAGCAGGATCCTGTGGTGGCTATCTGTTTCTTCTGTAAGTGACTTTTCCCCAAAATAAATTATATTTCATATTAATACCTAGTCCCATGAATCACTGTCTGTTATTCTGCCTGTATTTGCTAAGGTATGGGACCAACCTGCAGCCCTGAGTTGTTATCAGTATTTCACACCATTTCAGCTGTGCAAACACAAATTTCCACAATGAGCTTAAAAAACACAAGCTCTACAATTCTTAAAATCAAGAGAAATACAAAGGTAAATGTTCTCAAGGAGAGGGAAACAGTGTTGGTGCTTTTACTAAGTTAGCATTGCATCATGGAAAGTCTTGTGCTCAGAAGACCCAGCTGCAAACCCAACACTTTCGCTTTCTTACTACATCACTTATCTTTCTTTTTTTTTTTTTTTTTTTGGTTTTTACGAGATAGGGTTTCTCTGTATTGTTTTGGGGCTGTCAGTCCAGCCCGGCCTCCAACTCACAGAGATCCACCTGCCTCTGCCTCCTGAGTGCTGGGACTAAAGGTGTGTGCCACCACCACCCAGCCAACTACATCACTTATCTTTGACTCACAAAATCTCCTAAGAATTGACCTGTTTGCTGATTAGGTTCCCAGGTCATTATGAATTCTTAACTAGATAATACGATGACTGGACAAAAATAAAGCAACAAGACTTAGTATTCTTTTTCTTCCTATTTTTTTACTCTTTATTTTCTCTTTTAATATGGAAGTATTTATGAATTAAATTTAAACTTTAACTTTTTATTTTTGTAGGGTGTATACTTGAAATGACCAGGAAAGCATGAGTCTTTGCCTCTGCAATTAGCTGTTGTATTTTCAAAACTTTTAATTTGGAGTAAACTAAGGCTTTAATAATATGTTACCATATTTTTTTGGTTTTTCGAGATAGGGTTTCTCTATGTAGCTTTGTAGACTGGGCTGGCCTGGAACTCACAGAGATCCACCTGCCTCTGCCTCCCCCATGTTGGGAATAAAGGTGAGCACCACCAACATCCGGCTCATGTTATCATGTTTTTAATGATACATAGCCCCATTAAGTTACATGATTATATCTTGTTGTGGAACTAATGAATCATGATGAGGACCGAAAATTAGTGAATGTAAGGACCTGATCTACTGGTCTACATTACTCCTGTTAATTCCTCCCTCCCAAAAAAATTCAGCATCTGATCTAGCAAATTCTAAACAGGAATGGGCTGTCATCTCCATGTTTATTTCTACTTGGCCTGAAAAACAAATCATGTTTTATGCATTGATGATGAAGGACTTGGGGCTTGGTTTTCTTAAATTCAAAAGACCTATTTAAGATTCTGATAATTAATAACTTATAAGATCACATCACTTTAAGGGATAACTGTAAATTAGCACCCATCTTGGGAAACTGGCACATGAAACACAAGAAGGTGCTACAGAGGATATAAAGGGCCTTTTCATATAAGTAAGGTATCCAGGAAGGCAAGCAACTCTTTGGTCTTTCTGTAACTTTATCACACAATTTTGAATGATTCAGTTCATGTATATTTACAAAATTTTAAAGATAACTCTAAAGCTAACTCCTCATGGAGGTCATAGTTCACATATGGACTCTATAGAACCTTTTTAATAAGTTAGGGAGAGTCAAATTTATGTGTGGAGGCTGACATCTGGAAGTGCATGTGCCCAAGCAGAGAGGTGTTATTTTAGAATCAGTAATTGAGCATAAAACATGTAGAAGCAAATTGAAAAAGAACAAATTTTCATTCCAAAACTGTAGTCCTTAACACTGTAGAGACCATAAGGCAGAGCAAGGATTAAAGTGTCTGTCTCAGAGTATACTCACCAATGTCTGTTTACTATGTTCACAGTCTCCAATCACTCGATGAGTTTTAAAGTCTATAAAATCTTACCTTGGTGAAGAAGTCTTGTTTTGTACTGTCATCTGCTTCTAGACATAAAGGCAAAAGATGACATAGCAATAATAAAAAGCATTACATATTAAATTGACAATACTAATGTTTTATTAGTACACATTCTTTTTAGATCATCACCAAGATGATTCTAAACTGATTTTGTAGGCAAATAATTCACTAAGAACTCTTGCTTCTATTCTGTGTGTTTGCATATGGAAGGAGGAGGAGGAGGAGGAAGAGGAGGAAACTGTGCACAATAAGATCTTAACAGAGCACTCTCAGACTGATAGAAAGTAACTAACAGCTTCTAAAAATAACCTTGCTGTTTTGTCTCTGAACTAATGGCACTGGGAGAATTCCTAGCTACTGTGCTCATCTATGCTTTGTAAAGAAACAGAGATGCTTCTTTAGCTATTTGTTTGAAATTGTTCTGTTTATGATAAAAATCCCTGACACAAGGAACCTATATCTATGGTGACTGTTCTTTGTGGCAAGATGAAAGATGAAACAGGCAACTTAAACAGACCAGGGATAAAGATATCTGCAGAGAATTCCCAACTTCCATTGCTGCAAAGCTCAAGAGAGCACAGTGTGCTCACTCTCCTTGTCCCCTTCTGGGAAGATGCTAAGGAGATCCTCAGTTCTAGCTCCAGTCCATTCCTCACGTGACATGTAAGATGATTAGGATCAGCTTCCATTGCCCCCTGTGAAAGGAACTGTGGGAAAGATCCCTCCTTTGGTAGTCCTGCACCCTGAACTGCATCTCCAGTGAGAGAACAGCAGAGCAGCAGCACTGGGCACAAGGCAGACAGATCCAAAGGAGTACGATATAATATGAAACTCACTCTATTTGTTTATGCATGCAAAATATTAATTTAGTCGAGCTCTCACTAGATGCCAAAATACTCTCACGATACAAGTAAAAGCAATGTTCTTCATTTGCAAATGCAAGAACCTAGTGGAACTTTTTGATTTTTCCTATGACAGGAGTGGAACATTTCTTCCATGAAAAAGTGGGCTGAGACTGGCAATCACTCTTGTAGAATGTAAACAGTGTATCATAAAAAGTAAAAGTAAAAATTGCATTGGAGATGCAGCTCATAGAGAGACAGAAATTGCCTAGAATGCTCACAACGCTCTATGTTCAATTCCTAAGAATACTGAAGAAAAAAGGATTAATTATTTAGAAAGTACTGGGTGAGTCTAGCATAAAATATTGTGGCCCATCATGGACAACTTAACAAGGAGATGATTAAGGAAAGAGGTAACTGAGAGTGATACTACTGTTTAAAGGGACAAAATGCAGAAAGCTGTTGATTACATTATTAAGAATAAAATTTTAAATGATGGCATTGTATATATTTGCTATAACATACTTTAGGAACATTGAACTATATGATAGTCACATTCAAAATATGATGTATTGTAATAAATCTAAAGTAAAGGTTCAATATATAACAAGTGCCATTTGAAATAACAGAGGAATCACACAAGGTAGAAGGCAAAATGTCTTTGTCTAATTTGTGCAAATGAGTCCCATACATCTAGGGCCAAAGTTAAATAAGCCAACATTTTTCACACAACACATTTCAAGATTTGAAATTCCTTAAGTCTGTATTCCAGATATGCCAAGAAAAAAATAAGAAAGAATATATACATAGTTTACCCTTGATTCAGCTAATGCTTGTTTTCAGGACAAAGCAACATCATACTCTTCTTGTGTCACTAGGGTGGGAACACCTGCAGCAACACCCTCCCAGCATCTCAGTGCAGTGCACACCCTCCCAGCGTCTCAGTGCAGTGCACACCCTCCCAGTGTCTCAGTGCAGTGCACACCCATCCAGCATCTCAGTGCAGTGCACACCCTCCCAGAATCTCAGTGCAGTGCACATCCATCCAGCATCTCAGTGCAGTGCACACCCTCCCAGAATCTCAGTGCAGTGCACACCCTCCCAGCATCTCAGTGCAGAGCACACCCTCCCAGCATCTCAGTGCAGTGCACACCCTCCCAGTGTCTCAGTGCAGTGTACACCCATCCAGCATCTCAGTGCAGTGCACACCCTCCCAGAATCTCAGTGCAGTGCACATCCATCCAGCATCTCAGTGCAGTGCACACCCTCCCAGCGTCTCAGTGCAGTGCACACTCATCCAGCATCTCAATGCAGTGCACACCCATCCAGCATCTCAGTGCAGTGCACAACCTCCCAGCATCTCAGTGCAGTGCACACCCATCCAGCATCTCAGTGCAGTGCACACCCATCCAGCATCTCAGTGCAGTGCACACCCATCCAGCATCTCAGTGCAGTGCACAACCTCCCAGCATCTCAGTGCAGTGCACACCCATCCAGCATCTCAGTGCAGTGCACACCCATCCAGCATCTCAGTGCAGTGCACACCCATCCAGCGTCTCAGTGCAGTGCACACCCTCCCAGCATCTCAGTGCAGTGCACACCCTCCCAGTGTCTCAGTGCACTGCACACCCTCCCAGCGTCTCAGTGCAGTGCACACCCTCCCAGCATCTCAGTGCAGTGCACATCCTCCCAGAATCTCAGTGCAGTGCACACCCATCCAGCATCTCAGTGCAGTGCACACCCTCCCAGCATCTCAGTGCAGTGCACACTCATCCAGAATCTCAGTGCAGTGCACACCCTCCCAGTGTCTCAGTGCAGTGCACACCCATCCAGCATCTCAGTGCAGTGCACACCCTCCCAGCGTCTCAGTGCAGTGCACACCCTCCCAGTGTCTCAGTGCAGTGCACACCCATCCAGCATCTCAGTGCAGTGCACACCCTCCCAGCATCTCAGTGCAGTGCACACTCATCCAGAATCTCAGTGCAGTGCACACCCTCCCAGTGTCTCAGTGCAGTGCACACCCATCCAGCATCTCAGTGCAGTGCACACCCATCCAGCGTCTCAGTGCAGTGCACACCCTCCCAGTGTCTCAGTGCAGTGCACATCCATCCAGCATCTCAGTGCAGTGCACTCTAAACAAGAGGAGAAATATATATATCACAAAATTGATATTAAATTTGTATCAATAAATGAAAATCCATTCCAAGACAAAGTATTCATTTTTATATCATATTTCCTTTTTTCCCTTTAGAAAGAGATTGACTGTGGTCATTACCATTTTTAAGCAACCCCATTTAAATGAAAACAAGAATTTATAAACAATATTTTGGAATTTGGGCATTCTTCATTCCAAACTGCTTCCTGCTGGTTGGGGGCATTGTTCATACCATAGGGATCATGACAAAACACAGAAACCTGGCTAAGTCCTTGTGTTTTGTAGTCTATAACACCTCATCATCTCAGCTGTTTTAGATGTTAGATCACCTAGGACACTGGTTCAGGGGGTCTTGCTTCATGAAACCATAGAAGTCTGGAAGGAATCCACAGCCTTTCATTTTCTGAGGCAACACAAGCAAAAACTCTTTTCCCAAGTAGCCTGTCCTTATATTTAAATTTAGAAGTCAACGCATTTTTAAAATATAAAAGTTGGATTAATTCAGTAGCATATCTTTTAGCAGTTTTTGCTATTTCCTTAGCAGTCAAACAATTCAAAGGCAACACAGTAGCATACAGTAGCCAGACTTTCTATGTACTTTTCATCTTTATATGGCTTTTTTATTACTCTATTTCTTTCACTTTTATTTATTTATATTTTTCTCTGAGACAGAGTTTCTCTGTGGAAATCGGCCTGCCTCTGTCTCTAGAGTACTGGGATTAAAGGCTTATGCCACCACACCCATCCATTATCCTGT